GGAACTGCCGGGGGCTTGGGCAACCCCGGACAGTTCAGGAGTTGGTGTGCCTAGTGCGCACCTACCGGCCTTCTCTGGTCTTTATCTCTGAAACTAGGAAAAGCGAGGATTACGTTAATAAGTTGCGTAGGAGACTAGGTCTCAAGCATTGCATTTCCCATGTCGGAAAGGGAAAGGGTGCAGGTATTGCTCTCTTCTATGATTTGCAAGTTGAAATAAAAGAACTCGCTATTGGCCCGCGTTACATCGATGTGTTGGTTCGCCTAAATCCCCATGGCCGGCAATGGCGGGGTACCTTTGTTTATGGAGAGCCAAAAGCTAGTGAGAGGCATCACACGTGGGATCTCTTACACAGAATCAGGCCGATGTCAAACGAACCATGGCTCATGTTGGGTGATTTTAATGAAACTGCTTGGCAACATGAACACCTTTCTAGAACACCTCGAAACGAGAAGAACATGGAAAGTTCCAGAGTTGTTCTGGCCGACTGTGAGTTGGTCGACCTCGGTTTCAGCAGTCCAAGATGGACCTTTGATAATAAACAAAAGGGTGCGGACAATGTCAAGGCCAGAATCAATCGCGGGGTTGCTGACCAACACTGGAGCTCTATCTTCCCTGAAGCTTCAATCGAGCACATTTGTTCATCTAGATCCGATCATCTTCCCCTGCTCCTTAGATTCGGTCCGAGGAAAGAATGGAGACCCCTGCACAAGGGATTCCGATATGAGTATATGTGGGAAAGAATGGAGTCGTTGACAGATGCTATTCTGAACTCTTGGGAGGAGAAAGGGACAGCTGAGAACCTATCTGACATATCACAAAAACTTGCAGGTCTGCAACGCTCCCTAAACACATGGGCAAAAAACAGCTTCGGCTCAATCATAAAGCAGACTGCTTCGCTTAGGAAGCAATTGGAGAGCCTGTGGAAGAAACAAGCGTCGGCTGCCAGAGATAGGGAGATTAAGGCTGTATCTAGGAATTTGGACGAGGTTTTGCACCGGGAGGAGATGATGTGGAGACAACGATCTAGAGCGTTATGGCTGAGAGAAGGAGATAAAAATACCAAGTACTTCCAACGAAAGGCCTCTTGGAGACGTAAAAAGAATACAATCAGTAAGTTAAAAAATGAGGATGGTGTTTGGGTGGAGGAAATGGACAAGTTACAGGAAATGACCACAAGCTTCTTCAAACAATTGTACACTAAAGAAGACGAGGTCGATCCTAAGGTTATAGTGGACTGCCTGAATGAAAGAGTTTCTGTAGAGATGAATGTGTCGTTGGTTAAGGATTTCACGGAAAAGGAAATCAGCGACGCACTCTTCCAAATTGGCCCTTTGAAAGCTCCAGGCCCCAACGGCTTTCCAGCAAGGTTTTTCCAGAGGAATTGGAGTACTGTCAAGAGGGATGTGGTGAATGCGGTTCTGGAATTTTTCCAGGAGGGTATCATGCCGGAGGGAATTAATGACACGGTAATTGTTCTCATCCCGAAGAAGAATAATCCAGAGCACCTGAAAGATATAGACCAATAAGTTTGTGCAACGTGATATATAAAGTGATCTCCAAGTGCATGGTGAATCGCTTGAGACCCCTTCTGGATGATCTGATTTCTGAGACACAGAGTGCCTTTATCCCTGGCCGCCTGATCACAGACAACGCCATGATTGCTTTCGAGTGCTTCTACAAAATCCAGCATTCCAAACAGCCAGCTAATACGCACTGTGCTTTTAAGTTGGATTTGGCAAAGGCATATGATAGAGTCGACTGGGGTTTTATGGAAGAGTCTCTCCTGAAGCTTGGGTTTGAGCAAAAATGGGTTGGCTGGGTGATGAGCTGCGTAAAATCCGTGAGATACACTGTCAAATACAATGGGAAGCTTCTCGAGCCTTTCATCCCCTCGAGAGGGCTTCAGCAGGGTGACCCGTTGAGCCCATATCTCTTCCTGTCCGTGGCTGAAGGGCTTTCATGCCTGCTGGACAAGGAGGTTCGTCGAGGAAAAATCACCCCCCTGAAGATTGCCAGAGGAAGTCCCGGGATCTCCAACCTGCTGTTTGCCGATGACAGCTTACTCTTCTTCAAGGCGTGCAAAGAGGAGGCAGAGTGCATCATGCAAGTACTTGCCAATTTTCAGAAAGGTTCAGGCCAACTTCTGAGTTACAGCAAGTGTTCAATTCTCTTCAGTGAGCTGTGTCCAGAGGCGACCCAACAAGGGGTCATGACGGAGTTGCAGATCACGTCCTCTACTTTTGAGAGCAAGTATTTAGGGCTCCCCACGCCAGAAGGTCGCATGAAGGATTCTTTGTTTCAGCCTATCATGGAAAGATTTATTAAGAGATGTTCGGACTGGTCAGAGAGATTCATGTCTCATGAAGCTAAGGAGGTCCTAGTGAAATCGGTCCTGCAGGCCCTTCCTACTTTTTGCATGGGGGTCTTCAAGATGACACAAGGTTTCTGTGATAAGTATGAAAGACTAATCCGTGATTTTTGGTGGGGTGAGGAAAAGGGCCATAGGAAGGTTCACTGGAAATCTTGGGAGCAAATGACTAGGCCAAAGAGAGGAGGGGGTATTGGTTTTAGAGACATGAAGCTGTTCAACCAAGCTCTGCTCGCCAGGCAAGCATGGAGATTGATTCAGAGGCTGGACAGCTTATGTGCACGCGTTCTAAAGTCAAAATATTACCCGCACGGGGTGCTAATAGACACGGTTTTTGCATCGGAAGCCTCCCCTGTTTGGCGTGGAATTGAATATGGACTCGAACTGCTCAAGGCCGGTCTTGTGTGGAGAATAGGGAACGGGAGGAAGGTAAATATTCAGAGAGACAATTGGATCCCACGTAAAGAGGGCCTCAAACCAGTAAGCTTCATTCGTCGGTCTAGACTCAGATGGGTAAACCAGTTGTTAAGGGCTGACGGTGCTGGGTGGGACACGGAGAAGGTGCACCAACTGTTCTACCACTTTGACGCTGAGGCTATATGCAGTATAAGGCTTCCTAGTACTGAAACCGAGGACACCCTTGCCTGGCACTTTGAAAAATCCGGTGTTTTCACTGTTCGAAGTGCGTACAGGTTAGCGGTCTCCCTCCAAAAGCAGTCCAAATACCCAGCCTCGAGCTCTACGAATGACGCCGACAACCGAAGCATTTGGGACATCATATGGAAAGCAAAAGTTCCTGAGAAAATTAAGATTTTCGGCTGGAGAGTTGCCACGAACACCTTGCCCACAAATAAGAATAAATGGAAACGTACACTTGAAGTGGACAATGTGTGTAAGATTTGTGGTACTGAAGAGGAAGATGAATTTCATGCTGTAGTTTCATGCACTAAAAGCAAGGCTCTGAGGCATGAGATGAGAGAAATCTGGAATTTCCCTAGTGAATCCCAGTTCAGACACACTGGGGTGGATTGGTTACAGAACCTCCTCAACCCTTGCAACCCCGAGACAAGAGCTAAGACACTGCTTCTTCTATGGCGTTGTTGGTTTCTCAGGGATGACTGCACGCACAACGTAGGTAAGGAGTCTGTCAGCCGGTCGGCCCATTTCTTGGAGCTGTACGAGGAAGAGCTGAAGTGTAGCGGTACTATTTTGGAAACTGACACTAATATCAGACATAAGAAGCTACGAGCTGGGCATGCTTTGGGCAGGAGATTACCCTTGGATTTTCTGTCAGGGGCGACAGACTTGCAGGTTGAGACCTATCAGGGCCATACAGCAAATCAATGGTGTCCCCCAGTGGCCGGAACTGTCAAACTGAACTCAGATGCAGCTTTTCTAGCCGATAGTGGCATATCGCAAGTGGGCGCGGTCGCGCAGGATCATGAGGGGCTCGTCGTTGTCTCTCTGTCCAAAGGAATTGGATGGTGCTCTGCAGTGGAGGAAGCCGGAGCGATGGCCTTACTTGCTGGCCTGCAGGCCCTGTCACCTCTGTACAGGGGGCCAATCATCGCTGAAACTGACTGCAGTTTCGTTGTGAATGAGCTTCGGCCGGGCGACAGCAACAGCTCCCCCTGGCGGTCAGTTTTCTCTGACATCAAAAAGGAACTACAGAGGTTCAGTGAATCCCAGGTCATACATGCTAGCCGATGTCAAAACAAGCTAGCCCATGCTCTCGCCGCGCGTGCTCGAAGACTGGAAGACATGCAGAGGGTTGCGGCAATCCCGGATGACCTGAATGCAGTGTTAGCTGCCGACTATGTGTTGTCCTAAGAGTAACGTGGTTACTCTTGTTCCTCAAAAAAAACATGTAAAAAAAAAGTCACGGCAGAGGACAGGACTGAACTGCGGTCAACTAACTGGCGCTCGTAGCGGGGCACCAAGCCGCCTCGTGCACGAACCTGAGCGGCCGTCGGTGCGCAAGGGCACGAGTTCTTTTTTTTTTATGAAGTCTGCACGAGTTTTTAGTGCCAGCCAGAGGTCATCTCCACACAATCACACGGCCGCGTACCGAATCCCCGCTGCGGCTGCGCGTCGGTTGGCTGACGAAGCAGCTCGGGTAGCAAAATGGAGCTCTCCTTTCCTTTGTTAGGGAAAAAAGAACTTGAGATCAGGCCGCTCGTTCAGAAACCCAACAATTCAACAGGTCGACTAACAAGTACTAGTACCACCAGCAATTGGATGCACCATCACATCACATCAGCTCATACCTGGGTTGCTGGCCACGTCACTCCTCAAGTCATCGTCTCGTCAGGTTGGAAGAAAATAAGTCAGAAGATTGACGGGAGAGGCAAGTATCCGTCCCCGTCCGCCCGGCATCCGGTGCCCCGCACTCGGCCGGAAAAGCTGCCCACGGGCCGAATTTTTCTACGCACCAAGTCCAACTTGGCCACCAACCAACCATCCACTTATCCCGTTTGCCAAGTAGTGGCCGCCCCGCCCGGCCCGGCCTCCTCCTCCAAAGGAAAACCACCCGCACGCACGCGCACTTCCACGACCTTCCTCCCACTTTCCCCGCCCCCCTCCACCAGTCCACCGCCGATGCCGCCGGCCTCGCCGCCCACCTGACGCCATGCCGCTCCACTACCGCCGGATCCTCTTCTCGGACGACTGCGATCCTTGGTACGGCTGCCCCCCGCCTCCCGCCCCTCCCTTCTTCACCCCTTCCCCTTCTCCATCGCCTTCCTCTCCGCCGCCGATCACATCGCCTCCTCCTCCTTCGCCTTCTTTTTATTTCTATTTCCCTTCTTCCCCGGACCTCGCTCCGTCCCCTTCCCCCGTCCATGACGGCGGCGGTGGTTGGAGAGACCAGGGAGGAGGAACTTACGGGTACGGCGCCGTCGATGACCACCGCCGCCGCTTCATCACCTACGTCCTCTGCGCCGCCGCGGCGCTCGCGTTCCTCTCCCTCATCCTCCTCGGATTCTCGATCGCCGTCCGTCGCCGGCAGCTGCGGCGCCGGCGGCAGGCGCTCCTCGCCCAGCCGCCGGCCGCCGCGACCAACGTCGGGAACGACGACCCGGAGGGCGGGGGCGGGGGCGGGGTGGTGCACCACGTCTGGTACATCCGGACCGTCGGGCTCGACAAGGCGGCGATCGACTCGATCGCGGTGACGCCGTACCGCGCGGGGTCTGGGCTCCTCGGCGCCGCCGACTGCTCCGTGTGCCTCGGCGAGTTCAGCGACGGCGAGCTCGTGCGCCTGCTGCCCAAGTGCGGCCACGCGTTCCACGTCCCCTGCATCGACACCTGGCTCCGCGCCCACGTCAACTGCCCGCTCTGCCGCTCCGACGTGATCGACCCCGCCGCCGCGGCCGCCGGAGTCGGCATCGAGTCCAACCCACCAGCTGATCCAGATGCGAACGCCAACGCGGCAGCCGAGCAAGCGGCTGCCGCGAGCGATTCAACGCTGGAGCCTGAAGACGAGGAGGACGAGGACCAAGAAGCGCCGCGCGTGGAAGAAGATCAGCACGAGCAGCAGCAACCCAGTTCGCCAGAGCCAGAGCCATTGCCGCAGCTCCCGGGCCCACTGCCGCGGAATGTGCGGCGCGCGGCGTCCATGAACGCGGCGATGGTCTCAACCGCGGCAGACGTCGCCGCGCTGGACCGGCAGCCTGACGCGGCCCCCGAAGGGGAGGAGCAGAGTGGCCAAGAGAAGCATCAAAGCGGTGCGACCGGCCATCCGAGCACCGAGAGGCCCGCGTCCGGCGGTCTCCCGAGGTCCTTCTTCTCGCGGCACTGCCGTGCCCGGAGCTCCGTGCTGCCGCTGTGACGGCGCCGGGACCCCGAGCTGAATTTTGATCCTAGTCGCCAATAATGTTACCCGATCAACGCCCCGAATGTGTGTGATACCTGTCGCTTGTAATCTCAAAACCGATGATTGCGCGTTCAAACGCGAAATGCAGCAAAGAAAAGACTGCGATCGATCAACACATGCGTGAATCTTGCACACTGTGCATACGTTTTGTTCCCTTCAAACTGGATTCATCAGGCCCATCAGTCCAATTCCCATGTCGAGCTTTATCCGTTGTTTACCCTGTCACTCCAAAGCTCAAAAAAGTAAAATAGTATCTCTTATGTTGTCTGGTTCTACTTCAAGTGCAATTAAGAACAGAGATCAGACCAGAACAGGAATAGAGAATAGAAATTTAGGAAGATGCTCTTGTATGCTTGTCTAGGAAGCAGACACTGCACTTTGTCGGCTGCTCTTTTCTTTGCTTTACCCTACATTTTCTTCTCTTCAACTAACATGGGAGTGGAACGCATCATCCGCCTCTCAAACTTATCCAAGGGAGAACGTGCCCTCATGGCCTCGTGGGGGTCATTGGCACGGGAAGATTTTGTGTATTATTCTTCTATTTTTATTTTCTGATGACGGTAGCTAGTCTGAACGAGAAGCGCAGATACAGCACATGACGAGCTTGTAGCATCTCCAGCCGTTCGGGCCCCTAGGAGCTTGAAATATCGCCGCCTGGGGGCTCGCCGGCGATATTTTAGGCATGTGGATGGTCGGATTCCCAACTGCCGCCTCAAGCTCAATTCAGACGCCGTTCTTTTGAAAAATAAAGTCGGCCAAAATCGGCCAAACACGACAAAATTTGGCCAAATTCGACACATATGAGGCGATCTGATTGATTTTTTTACATAAAAACTTTAAAACATAATTCAAAACTAAAAACATAAATGAAAACTACTGCGCCGCCTTCTGCCGCCCCTCCTACAGGCCGAAGAACGCGCCGAAGGCGATGTAGTCGTCGCCGTCGTCGGCATGCTTCTTTACGCTGCCGCCGTTGCTGCACCCCTCGCCTGCGTCGCCTTGGCATCCCGGTTTGGTTGGCGGCAGCGGTGCATCGTCGTCACTGTCCTCGAGGACGATGACGCCGCCCACGTCGTGGTCGCGGCGCCGGGCGGCGATCTCCTCTAGGGCGCTACGCTGGCATTTCGTCTCCAGTTTGACGTAGTCCTCGCGCGCCAACTTGAGCGTGGCCTCGTCATTGGCGGCGGCCAAGTCGCCGTGCTCGCTCTTCACGGCGATCAGCCCTGGCTCCGTCTTCGGCTTGACGAAGCGGGAGGAAGAGGAGCCACGGCCACCCTCGTTGATGACAAAGGCGCCGCCGTGGGTGCGCCGCCCTAGCGGCGTCTTCACGGGCTCGGCCTTGACGCTGGCGAGCGCCGGCGATCCGGACGAGTGGGAGTGGGAGGAGAAGGACCCACCCGCCATGCGCCGCGGCAGCCAAATGTCGCCGCCGCTCCGGCGGGGACAGGTGATGAAGCTATGTACCTAGGGTAGGGTCATGGACCTGTCCAAACTACCCCACACAAGGGCATCTTTAGAAGAAATCACCTGTCAATCGACTCAGAAGTGTTCCACTCGACGGACTCGAGGACACTCGACCGTGAAGCCAATCACTCGACAGCCAGGAGATCTAAAGTCACTCTGCGTGAAACGGTCTGTCATTAAGTAGCCTTTATGGTCTTCATAGTACTTTATGTGGGCGTTACCAGTAACCCCCTGTCTTAATGTACTTTAAACCCTGCATAACTGAGGGCTGGAGGGGTCTGGCGAACTCTATATAAGCCACCCCGCTCCTCAGTGTAAAGGGTTCGCACCCCTGTAACTCATACGCATATAATCCAGTCGACCGCCTCCGGGCTCCGAGACGTAGGGCTGTTACTTCCTCCGAGAAGGGCCTGAACTCGTAAAACTCTTGCGTATACAACTACTCCATAGCTAGGATCTTGCCTCTCAATCAGTACCCCCCTACACTACTGTCAGACTTAGAACCACGACAGCTGGCGCCCACCGTGGGGCAGGTGTCTTAGCAACTTATTGGAGAAGTTGCGATTTTTTCCGATCTCCTTCATCATGGTTTCAGGCGGAGGTTTGATTGAGGGCCGCGAGATCCGTCTCGGCGCGCTCATGTTCGTTGCCGACGACTCTGCCTGGCTTCAGGAGGCTCCGCTCGACGTCGACGCGCTCCTAGTCCGCGGAGCGACGCACTTTCGCGCGTGCGTCCGCGGCGTCCTCCTGCGGCAACCGTCGACCCAGTATCGACCAGTTTTTGTGTCATCCTCCCTCCCTGCTTCCCGCCGGCGCAAGCGCTCCGGTCGGTCGAGGCTTCAGCGATGGGTGAGGCACGCGGTGGCTCGCAAGTCGACCACCGCCCAAGTCGCGGCAATCGAGCCCGATGAATCTCTCTACGGCCTGTTCGACTCGCTCCGCAGAGACTGCATCCGAGTGCGACAGCAGTGATCCAGCGGCAGAGGTCCTGATGGTCAATGGACCACACGGTCCCCCCGGCTTTCCCGGCGCCGAGGGAGGTGACGGCGGAGGCAATCCGTCGCACGCCCATGAGGAATATCTCCCCGAGCCCCTCGATTCTCTGCAAAGGGAAGAACTTCGCCGCCAGAACATGGATGCGCTACATACTCCTATCGTTGGAGAAACTCCCGAGGCTCGTGCCTTGGAAGACGCGCGCTTGGCTAACTTGGCCGAGCGCACGCGACTGGAGAACCTTCAGCGAGCACTCGACGAGTGTGCTCGGAAACGGGTTCCAGATTCCAGTCGACGTCAACTCTTTCCACAACCGACTCAGGTATATCGAACTCCGATTCAGAATTTAGCAGCTGCAGCCCGTATAGCAGAGTCGATTCAGCCTTCCTAGTCAGAGGCTGGCAGAGGCTTAATGCAGATCAGAGATTTGCTCCGGGCAGCAGGAGATCAAAATTCAGCTATATCACAGTCGCGAAACAAGATTCACAGCAGATCCGTGGCCGCGAATACAGTCCAGTCGGCTCACAGCCCCAGATCGCCCCCGAGGCATGAGGGACGTGGAGACCGGCATGATCAGCACAAGAACCGTGAGCAGTATGATCACCGATTCGATCACGATGATCGACGTCGAGTGCCCACCCCTCCCCCAAGGGGTGGATCGTACGTGCCTCAACAGCAGGATGATAGGCGCCAGCATAGTGTTGGGCGAAGAATTCCAGTCGACCCCAGGGAACCAGGCTTTGATGCGAGATCCATTATCGTTCAAGGTCTGGTCGACAGGAATAGAGCTCACCGAGAAGGTAACGACAGGGATGTGCCCACCAGCAGCAGAGTGCATGTCTCAGGACCAGAGTGTTTTACCAGAGCCATCAGGGCCGCGGTGATTCCTTCCAACTTCAGGTTGGCGACTGGAGTCAGTAAGTTCACTGGTGAGTCCAAGCCTGATACTTGACTTGAGGACTATCGAGTGGCTATTCAGATCTGCGGTGGCAATGATGAGGTGGCCATGAAGCATCTGCCTCTTATGTTGGAGGGCTCAGCCAGAGCATGGCTGAACCAGTTAGCACCCAGCAACATTTACACTTGGGAAGACCTTTCCCGAGTGTTTGTCAGAACGTTTGAAGGAACTTGCAAGCGACCAGCAGGACTGACAGAGCTGCAAACTTGCGTACAGAAGCCGAATGAGACTTTGAGAGATTACATTCAGAGATGGATCACGTTGCATCACATGGTAGAGAATGTGTCTGATCACCAGGCAGTGTGTGCCTTCAAGGAAGGCGTTAAGTACAGAGAGCTGAATCTGAAATTTGGTCGAACCGGAGACATGTCTTTGAGTCGAATGATGGAGATAGCCACCACGTATGCCAATGGTGAAGAAGAGGATCGGCTCCGGAGTGGCAAGCACAAGTCAGTCGCCCACGAAACCGGAGGAGGGAACTCCAGTCGGAAGCAGAAACGGAAAGCCAAGCCAACTGCTCCTGGAGAAGCCTTAGCCGTGACTCAGGAAAAGTTTAAAGGGAAGCCCAAGGGGCATTGGAACCCCAAGAAAGTGAAGGCTAAAGAAGGAAATGACGTGATGGATTTTTCGTGTCACATCCACACGAAGAAAGATGAGGAGGGTAATTTCATTTACCCGAAGCATACCACTCGGCAGTGTCGGCTCTTGATCCAGCAGTTCCAGGGGAAGCAGCCCAAGGACAAGGAAAAAGAGTCGGACAAAGTTGATGACAAAGAAGATAGTGATGATGGATATCCCCTGGTCAATTCCACCCTGATGATTTTTGCTGACGTTGAAAGCAAAAGTCGACTAAAAGTTATAAACTGAGAGGTGAATATGGTTGCTCCGGCGACACCCAATTATCTGAAGTGGTCTCAGACGGCCATCACATTCAACCAGTTAGATCACCGGACACACATAGCCACCCCTGGGAGGCAAGCTCTGGTGGTCGATCCAGTTGTCGAAGGCACTCGACTGACTAAGGTCTTGATGGATGGCGGCAGTAGTTTGAATATACTGTACACGGAGACACTGAAAGGGATGGGCATTCCGATGTCCAGAATCAGTACAAGCAACATGAGTTTCTATGGAGTTATTCCTGGCAAGAAGGCCGCGTCACTCGGCCAGATTGCTCTCGATGTGGTTTTTGGTGATTCCAAGAATTTCCGCAAAGAAAAGTTGACATTTGAAGTCGTGGATTTCCAGAGTGCCTATCATGCTATTTTGGGCAGGCCAGCTTATGCACGTTTTATGGCTCGACTGTGTTACGTGTACCTCAAATTGAAGATGCCTGACCCTAAGGGTGTGATCACTGTTACTGGCAATCGCAAGATGGCGGAAGAGTGCTTTCAGAAGGGCTCAAAAATCTCCAATGCTCAGATGGTAGCAGAAGAGTGGCAGGAACATCAAAAAAATGCAGACCCGAGTGATTTGTTGCGAGCTAAGAAGCCCGCTACGGAGTCACCTTTTCAGTCGCCCGGTGAGACGAAACCGGTTCACA